CTTCTGCTTAAAATTTCATTTTAAAATATCCTCAGTAAGCCTTGGCTCTGCTTCGTACTGGTTCATTCTGAAATTCTTTTAATGTTGAAGCCAAGAGTCTAGTTTTATTTAATTAGAGTTCCCTAAAAGAGTAGGGCAAACTTCTCGGGAATTATGGGATGTGACAGCATGCCTCTGTCCCTGTCACTGTTATCTGGACACCAGAGTTGCCAACCAACCTGAGGTAGGGCAGACTTGCTGGCTCTGGACACACAGTACTTAGGGAACAGCAAGACTTGGTGGCAGGAAGGTGCTAAGGACAGGAGAGAGGTCCAGGATAGACAAATCCCAAAAACATGCCAGCTGTCCACACAGAATTGCCAGGGAAAAGAATTTATGCACACACACAAAAACCATAACAACAAAAAGCAAACCCCACTCTTCGCCTACCTGGGCTAGCAGTCAGCATCAGGTTCTTTTGACAAGGACTGGAGCTCCTGGAATGAGTGGAGCCTCCTGTCCAGTTAGGGAATCTGAGGGTGGGGGGCAGCTCCTGGAACCCCTGGGCCCTAGGGTCCCTTGGTTTCCAGACCCGCCCTCTTCAACTGCCATCCTTCGGAATCTACTCTGCCTCAAAGCTCTGGGGCTCAGTTAAAGGGCTAGAGGTTCCTCTGCCCTGGTTGCAGGCCACAGCATTTCTACCACAGAGCTACTCCTCAGACTTTGCCCAGCACAAGGTGCTTGCTGCTAAACCTAAAGACCTGAATTCCATTCCTGGGACCCACACAATGGGTCCTCTGACTTCCACACACATGTGGCATGTGAGTACCCCTTTCCCAAAAAAAATAGATAACATGATTTTAAAAATTAGAAAAGATTATTGCATAAATTCAATACTATTTATTCAATATTTAATAGATATCATCCTTCCATATCCTTTCCTTGCCAACTGCCAAGGCAGCTATGTGAAGATCCTGACCTACCTCAGGCAGGCCCAGCAGACACTGAGGCAGGAACTGTAAGAAGTGCAATGAAAGAAGATCCTTCTGGGTAGAAAGAGCTAGCAGCTGTGGAGTCACAACTGCAACACTCATTTATCTGGTGATCCAGATGGCAAGTCCAAATGGGTGTTGGCTGTTGGAAGTTTTCTAAGAATGACAGCCTGGTCATCCTAGGGAACTGGAAAAATGAGCAAGAGGCCTAGGAAGGCTGACACTGCTTGGCTGACAGGAGAGTTTTGAGTGATAGTGAAGAGAAACTTTCTAGAAATGTATTTATAAGAATTGCTAGGGGGCTAAGGAGATGGATCAGCAGTTAGGAATACTTGATGCTCCTGTCAAAGAACTGCTTCAAGTCCCAGTACCCACATTTCAGGTTAGAAACAACATGTGTCCCCAGTTCCAGGGGACACATCATCCTCTTCTAACTTCCTGGCTCTTGCAGGCATGTGATGCATGTAAACTTGCGGAGGTACACACACAAGCACATAAAAATAATAAATAAACCAATCCTGAAGAAAAATTGCTCCTTGAAGCAGTTTACCAATTCACCCTGGTCAAAGATATTGTGAATCAATAGACTAACATTTCCCTGATTCTGTGGTCCTCATTCTCAGTCAGCAAAGCAGTGATGATGGTGATGGTGATGATGATGATGATGATGGAGACAGGATTATCATGTAGCCCAGATTGGTCCTTGTCTTAGTTTGAGTTTTATTGCTGTGAAGAGACATCATGATCATAACAACTTTTTTTAAAAAAAGAATTTATTTATTTATACATATGAGTGTACACCTGCATGACAGAAGAGGGCATCAGATCATATTATAGATGGTTGTGAGCCATCATGTGGTGGGTGGGAATTGAACTCAGGACTATCATGAAAGAGCAGACAGTGCTCTTAACCACTGAACCATCTCTCTAACTCCCACAGCAACTTTTATAAAGGAGAACATTTAACTGACACTGGCTTACAGTTTCAGAGGTATAGTCCATTACCATCATGGCAGGAAACATGGTAGCATGTAGGCAGACATAATGCAAGCAAAGGAGCTAAGAATTCTATATCTTGATCTGGCGGGTCTTCCTGTGACTGTGAGCCACTAGGTTTGGCTTGAGTATTTGAAGACTTAAAGCCCAACCCCTAGTGAACCACTTCCTTCAACAAGGCCACACCTCCTAATAGAAGTGCATCTCCCTGTGGACCTGTGAGGGCCATTTTTATTCAAACCACCACAGTCCTGAACTCTCTGTGTAGTCAAGGATGTTTTTCAGCCTGTCTGTCTCATCAGCCTGTCTCTGCCTCCCTGCGTGCTGGGAGACAAGTATGCACACTAGTCCCACTCTATGTGGTACTGGGGACTGAACACAGGGATCTGTGCATGCAAACACTCCACCAGCTGCATTATCTCCCCAGCCTTACCTTACAGCACGGGGAGGGGAGGGGTTGGAGACAGGGTTTCTCTGTGTAGCCTTGGCTGTCCTAGACCAGGCTGGCCTCAAACTCACAGAGATCCACCTGCCTCTGCCTCTCTTTAACTTAAAATTTTTTTTTATTTTATGTATATTGGTGTTTTGCCTGCATGTGTGAAGAGGTCTGGAACAGGAGTTACAATTGTGAGCTGCCAGGTGGATGCTAAGAATTGAGAAGCCAGTGTGCTTAACGGCTGAGCCATCTCTCCAGCCCTAAATATCTTTTAAAAAGACTTATTTGTTATGTATACACTTTTCGCCTGCTTTCTGTGCTGGCATGCCAAACGAGGGCACCAGATCTCATTATAGATGTTTGGGAGCCACTCAGCACCTCTGGAAGAACAGCCAGTGTTTTCTACCTCTGAGCCATCTCTCCAGCCCAGCACTTTTTTTTTTTTTTTTTTTTTTTTTTTTTTTTTTAGGTTTTTTTGAGACAGGGTCTCTCTTTGTAGTCCTGGCTGTCCTGGAACTATCCCCATAGACCAGTCAGTCCTCAGACTCACAGAGTCCTGCCTCTGGTTCCCCAGTGCTGAGATTACATGTGTGTGCCACCATGCCTTGCTGGGGTACTTATTTTTTTAAATGGTTCTATCCTCCTGTGTTACTTGGTTTCAGGGTTTGTCCAGTGACAACAATGGTGATTTTTTTTTTTTATAAACAGACATACTGCTTCTTTTTTTTAAAGATTTATTTATTTATACATATGAGCACTCTATTTGCACGTATGCCTTCATGACAGGAGAGACCATCAGATCCCATTATAGATAGTTGTGAGCCACCATGTGGTTGCTGGGAATTGAACTCAGGACCTCTGAAAGAGCAGTCAGTGCTTTTAACCACTGAGCCATCTCTCCAGCCCCACAATGGTGAATTTTCCCACTTAAACCAGAAGGCTCTCTCCTTGGGAAGAGGTTCAGATCCATTATGAGTGAAAGTTGAAAATATGAGGGTGAGGGTTCTGTGTCAGGACCCCTCATCCTTGGGCCTCCTAGACTGGCCTAAAATTCAGTATGTAGCTGAGGATGACCCTTGAGTTTCTGATTCTCCTGCCTCTAACTCCCTAGTGCTTGGGCTACCACAGTCAGTGTTTGCGTGTTACAAGACTGAACACAGGGATCCTTGCATGCTGAAAGCATAGCTTCTTGCATGCTATGCATACTTTCTACCAACTGAGCTACATCCCCACGCAGACCTCTGGCTAGAATTTGGAAAAGGCCACATCTTCGGTAGGACCTTGATGAGGATGGAAGTGGATGGGTGTGAATGCTATTTGAGAGGTGGCAGAGGGACGTTCAGAACTGGTTTGGTTTCTAGTCTAGGCAGATATGGAGATGCTGTTCTTACCATCTCGTGCTCTGCTCTTTCCAGGAATCCTGGCATAGGCCTGTTAGGCACACAGATCCACATCCACATGAGCTGTTTCTGTGCCTTCTTTGGAAGGAGATTCCAGGCCATTGCCAGTCTTCTTGCACTCTTGTAGCTATGGCAACCACACACCACACATTCTCAAGCTTTACATGCTCAGTCTCTTTACACAGGTTTCCATGTTATATCTGATATTTCCACATTGGATGATGAGGCTGCAGAGGCCATGGCCACCTCCAAGATTATAAGACCATATGAGTTAGTGAAGTGAGAAGATGCACACCTGACTGCAGGTCCTCCTTATGTCCCTGTGTCCTCATCTCTGTGTGTTTCTTCCATTAGTGACAGGAGTAGAGATGGCCTACAGGAGAGAGGACTATGAACACTTCATAATTGCAGGGCAGCCTGCCTGCCAGGGACTATCTTGTGAAAATGAGATTGGGCCTTTAAAATGGAATTTTGGGGCCAGATTGTAGTGGATGTTGTGGCTGCCTGGAATGTGAGCTGTGGACACCTAAAATACGAGGCAACTGCATGGTGCAGTGGTTCCTGATGCATAGCTAGAGGATCTGGAGCCCCTGTATAGGGACACTTGCCTTCAGTGTCCACATTCTTGTTTGTCTTCTAAGTCGGGTAACTCCTCCATTGTGAGCATGTAGGCTCCCTGCTTTCCTGGACACTGCTGCAGAGCCCTCCCAGCAGAGATGGCTCCTAAGAGGTTTTTCTGAGTATGGGGGTCCTAAGCACAGGTTTCTTGTCGCTCAGCTTAGATCAGAGAGGCACGGGTGTCCAATTTGAACTGTGGCTTGCAGTGGCAGGAAGCCCCCGCCCGGCGGTAAGCTGGGGAAGCCGCCGGAGCTCCGGATTTCCGGACCTCATGAACGTCCACCAATGGCACCAACGGGATTCTGGAAACCCCAACGTAGGCACGATCCAGGACGGCCAACCTGTAATTAATAGCTTGGCGAGGCAGCCTGGAATAACAGGTGAGGTGCATTAGTTCATTCTCGCCCATCCTTCACTACAGACACCGCCGGTCTGCGGCTACCGAATCCCAGTAGCTATCAAGCAGGAAGCAAAAGCCACAGGTGGCCCCTTTAAGGCGCTCCGCCTCCTCTAATTTTTCTGACCCTCGTCGCCGCCCGTTGCCCCGCCTCCTCGCGCACGCGCACTCCCTCCCGCCTCCCGCGCTGCGGCCGCCTAGTCTACCAGCTCGTCTACTCTCGCGCGCAGGGCCAGCCGCCGCGACGCCAGAGCGCCCGGCCCCGCCGCCGCGGCCCCGGCAGGTAAGAAGGTAACCCGGTTCTGTGGTCGCGAGGCGAGTGGCGGCCACGAGGGACCGCAGGCTCCGGGATCCTCAGCGCCGCACGTGTTTCGTGGGCCTCGAGCCGGGCCCGGCGCCGCCTCTGTGGCCGCGCCCCGACCCCGCCGCCCCTTTTGGCGACCACGGCCTGCTCCTCGCACGGCGTTCCCCGCTGCTCCCCTAGACCCTTTAGTCCTCCGAGTTCCTCGAGGCTTACCTCAGCCTGGCGTCCCTAGGCATGGGATTAACCGTCTCTCACCAGGGACACCCAGCCAGTATCTTGCAGGTTTCCGTGGCCACTTGGCGCCTCTCTTGTGCTGCCAGCACAGCCTTCACCTGTGTTCCAGTGCAAGTTTCTACCTGACTAGCCTTCACTCTGGTCAAGGGGTTTCTAAGCATTGTTTGGGTCAGCCAGGCAGGTGAGCACCCCGTGGTGTGAGGTCAGGGCTGCTAGGACCAAGGTATCCAGGAGCCCAGAGAGGGTGGGTTGGGGGGCTCTTTGTTGAGCTGCCGACTGCACTCACCTGAGGGTGTCTTCCCACACCTGAGTGCTCAGTGTCTGGGGTGGTGATCAGGAATCTGTGTTTGACTGGAGGTAGAGTGATGGCTGCTGCCCTTCCATGGTCAGGCTCACTCTAGTGTAAAGCTGCGGATGAGACTGTGCCAGTTGACTACCTCCTTTGTGGGCAGTGGCGCTCAGCTCCAACCCCTTGCTGAGTATCCTGCTGAACGCACCTCCCTCCCTAAGCTGTCTACCCTTAGTCTTGCTTTCCCGTGGCTTTAAAACTGAACACCTGAGTGCTCTCTGTCTTAGACTCCACCCAGTGGGATCGGAAATTGGTGATTTCTTTTGAGACAGGTTCATGTAGATCTGACTTCATATCTAACTGCTTTGAATTCCTGAATGCTCTGAGGCAGATAGGCTAAAATTGATCGGTTTTTGTTGTTGTTGTTTTGCTTTTTTTTTTTCTTTGATTTTTCGAGACTAGGTTTCTGTGTGGCCCTGGCTGTCCTGGAACTTGCTCTGTAGACTGGGCTGGTACTGCCTGCTTCTGCCTTCCTAGAGCTGGGATTAATTAATGTGTGTGGCACTGTGGCCATGATGGTGTTTTCATTTGTTAATTCTTGGCTTTCTGAAAGACCCTTCCCGAAGGGTGTTCCATGGTGGGGGATGGGTAGTGGTGGTGTGCTTGTTTACAAGGTCATTCCACTACATGAATCTCTTTATGTGCTAAAAGAAACTGCTTAAAGTTCCTAGGCCTTCCCACTCAAAAGATCTGCCCCTACACTCTTGCCCTGTCGGCTTACTAGAGTAGGGGGATGAGTTAGTCTTTGAAAGGGACTTTCTAGTCTTTGCATTACTTCAATCTCAGCACCTTCTGCTTCCTGTATGTATGGTCCACAAGAGAGGTGGTTACAGGAACTTGTGATATGGCCAAAGTTGCGTTAAGAATAAGCTCCATGGGCTGGAGAGATGGCTCAGCGGTTAAGAGCACTGACCACTCTTCCAGAGGTCCTGAGTTCTAGCCCCAGCATATGGTGGCTCACAACCATCTGTAATGGAATCTGATTCCCACTCTGGCGTGCATGAAAACAGCATTCATTAAATAGATAGATAGATAGATAGATAGATAGATAGATAGATAGATAGATAGATAGATAAATAAGTAAGTAAGTAAATAAATATTTTAAAAAGAATAAGCTCCAGCCGGGCTCGGTGGCTCATAACTGTAATCCCAGCACTCAGGGAGGCATGGCAGCACAAGCCTTAATCCGAGCACCCAGAAGGCAGAGACAAGCAGATCTCTGTGAGCTCAAGGCCACCATGGTCTACAAAGAGACTTACAGGGCATCCACAACTGCTACACAGAAACTTTCTCTCAAAAAAAAAAAAAAAAAAAACCAAAGGAGGAAAAATAGGCTCTAGGTCAGTCCCCGTGGTTGATTTATGCCTGTTAAACCAAACGTGCCCAGAGGTTGAGATAGGTTTTTTAATACCAGGTACATAGCAAGACCCTGCGTCCATAAAGCTAAAAGCACCAAGCAGTTGGTATTTCCTGGGCACAAGAGCTTTGTTTTGTGGAGAGGTCTGTGGGACTTACCCTCCTTCAGTCCTTGCCCCTGAACTTGAGCTACAGCAGACTATATGACCTTGATGGAGCCGGCTGCAGGTAAAGCAACATGGCGGCACCTGTGTGGAGGGTGCTGTTACTAGGATTGAAGACTTTGAGATGGTGTTCTCTTTTGGCATCCTTTCATTTGTCTTGGCCTTCCATGGGATTTGTGTGAAGTTTCAGTTTTAATTTCAAAGCTAGAATTTACATCATGATTGCTCCTTACATCAGTGGCCGAGGCATCCGTGGCCAGTGACATTTGCAAGCATGTCTTAGTAGCTCTCCTTTGAGGACTGCTAACTCATTTTCCAGTCACATGATGTGGTTTTGTTTGATGTATTCAGGTGGTAGAACCTATGGAGGTGGTGGAATTAACTGTTGTAGCTGCACACATACTCAGGCTGATAAACAACTTCTGCTATGCAGCTTCATCTACCTTGCAGTTTCACTGATGCTGTTCTCGGAGGTTTCCTTGGGAGGCAGTAGCTCCTCTGACTTACTCTTACAGCTCTTGTAGCACTGTGCACTGAGTCCTTGGGCTTTGTAAGCTCTTAGCATTGTAGAAGGCATTTTTCACCTGCACCTGTGAGTTCGCAGGGAGACACTGATGAGGTGGTGGCCACTGGGCGCACACTTCTGTTCCCTAAAATCCCTTGGCATGTTTTAGGATTTGGGTAAGCTCCCAAACTTCTGCTCAGCAATGTCAGTTTCTGTTACAGCACCTTTGTTAAACTGGGTCAAAGCTCACATTCCTGCACATATCTGTGTGCTGCAGTGGGAAGCCTTCTTGAGGGTCAACTCTTCTTTCTTAGTCTCACAAAGGTCATCACACAGAGCATCTGAAGCTTCAGCCTTGGGATAGGGTGATAGTTATTCCCAGCTTGGAACAGTTTATTTGCTGTAGGGTTTAATATGGTGGTCATGTTTCTCCATTTTATCCTTTTTCCTGGGGATTATTGTTTTTTTTTTATTGGGAAGTGGTAGTCTTATTCATGTTAGGTAAATTCTCTCTTCATGAGTTGCTACAGCTCAGTTCCAACAACCTTTTTGTTGTTTTGAGACAAGGTTTCTCTGTGTATCACTGGCTGTCCTGGAATTGTCTCCATAGACCAAGCTGGCCTCAAACTTAGTGATCTGCCTGCCTCTGTCTCCCCAGTGCTGAGATTAAAGGCATGTACCACCATACCTGACTCCAGTAACCATTTTTTAAAGAGAGGATTTGTTTATAGGCCCCATACTGTAGAGTACCGTTTAGCTGACAGCCTCTTCCACTGTGACTCCCCTTCACGGTGTCCTGCCCGGTGGGCTTCAGAGCCATGGCCACGGAGGAGAAGAAGCCAGAGACAGAGGCTGCAAGAGCACAGCCTACACCTTCCTCATCAGCCACACAGAGCAAGGTATGTTCCACAGGACCACTGCGGTAGACAGGCTGGAGAGATTCTCAGGGCCTGTTTCCTTAGTCCTGGCTGCTCTGCACAGTGGTATGCTGCCAGTGTGAGTTTCTGACCACACAGCAGTAGCAGTGACACAGCAGCTATGCCACATCAGGGATTTCCAGACCAAGACAGGTTGGGGGAATTTATCAAAAAGTACAGTTTGTTTAGAGGCAGGGTCTCCCTATGGTCTTGGCACACTCAACATGTAGATCAGGCTAGTCTTAAATTTCTATAGATTTGCCTGCCTCCATGTGCTAGGATTAAAGACATTCCCCTCCACATCTGGCCAAAAAATTACAAATTCTTGGTGTGTTAAGGTGGGGGCTCCAGGGGAAGTAGGTGCTTTGAAGAGAAGTGATCGGCTCACACTGACAGTTTGAAGGGTGACATCAGATAAGGTGGTAGTAAGTTCTTGTGCATGAGTTTGGAACCAGCTAGTGCTTGATTACACTTTAGGCATCAAGTGGGTTGATTGGGTGGTGGTAGTTGCCTCTGGTAAAGTTGTACTGTTTCCCACAGCCCACACCTGTTAAACCAAACTATGCCCTGAAATTCACCTTGGCTGGCCACACGAAAGCTGTGTCCTCTGTGAAGTTCAGCCCCAATGGGGAGTGGCTGGCAAGTTCATGTAAGTATTCTTCAGTCTTTTGGCTCATGGAGAGGCTGTCTGAGCTTTATCTGAGGAAGTAAAGTGGGAGGACTGGACTGTGTTACTTCTTACTGCTTCTCTGGGTTGGTTAACATTCAGCATGTTTCTGTGGAACTGAAATAACTACTATTCATATACTGTTGCCACTCTGGAGTGCAGGGGGTGGGGTGGAGCCCAGTGCCTCCATGTGCTCATACTTCGTTCATTGCCCGACCTAGGCCCTGTACTTTAGGGGAATGGACAATCACAACCTTCTTTGACCCTACCTCCTTTTCATTTCTTTCAGCTGCTGATAAACTCATTAAAATTTGGGGAGCATATGATGGAAAGTTTGAGAAAACCATATCGGGTCACAAGCTGGTAGGTTTCCTGTGATGTACACTGGCTGTTGAGCCACAGTGGCTGGGTGCTCTGGCTCTCCTGGAATTTACTTAGGCTGGCCTTGAACTCAGAGATCCAACTTGGAGATCTGCCTGACTCTCCCTAGTGTAGGGATTAAAGGTATGCACCACCTCTACATAGCTTGTCAGGACTGTTTTTTGTTTTTTTTTTTTTCTTCTTTTTGGTTTTTTGAGATGGAGTTGCTCTGTGTAGCCTTGGCTGTCCTGGGCTTGCTTTGTAGACCAGGCTGGCCTTGATTTCACAGGGATCCTCCTGCCTCTGCCTCTGAGTGGTGGGATTACAGGCACCCGGTTTCATCAGGACTGTTTTTTAGGCTGATGGGATCTTATTAGATAGCTCAGGGTGATCTAGAATTGCAGTTATCCTGCCTCAGAGTCAGGTTTGCACTACCACACCTGGCCACTTTACATTTTTAGTGCAAGCATTTTGAGCCTCCATAGGTGAGTGAGTCTAGGAAGCTTGGCAGAGCTAAGTGTAGTAGTAGCCTTAGGTTCTGGGCCAGGTATCTTGTGCTAATGCTGGGCAGAAGATGTCCTGAGGGCATGGTGTATAGATAGGTAGGGCTGATCTTTTACCAGTGGTTTGGATTTTGTCCCACAAGGTGGTAACTGACGTTTTTCCTCCCCAAGGGAATATCTGATGTAGCCTGGTCATCAGATTCTAACCTCCTTGTGTCTGCCTCTGACGATAAAACTTTGAAGATTTGGGACGTGAGTTCTGTAAGTGACACTGGTCTTCCCAGGGAGTGCCTGTAGTTGAGATGAGTTAAATGTGTGGATGGCTGGTCTGGGGAGGCCTTCAGATGTGCTGGAAGCTTGTATTTAGGCATATAGCCTTTGGGAGTCACAGGGCTTGGTATGCTTTGTGTGCTCTAGGGAAAGTGTCTGAAGACGCTGAAAGGCCACAGTAACTACGTCTTCTGCTGCAACTTCAACCCCCAGTCCAACCTCATCGTCTCAGGGTCTGTAAGTGCGTGGGTCTCTCCCCAAGGGGGATGTGTACAGTGTCACATGCTGGTGCGTGGTGGGATAGGCAGGTTGGCTTCTGGGTTTGGGGTCTCAGGAGCACACTGTTGCTGCTGCTGTTACTGTAGAGTCACGTTACTATCCTGTCTCATTTAGTTCGATGAAAGTGTGAGGATATGGGATGTGAAGACGGGGAAGTGCCTCAAGACTTTGCCTGCCCATTCGGACCCAGTCTCAGCTGTAAGTCCTCCTACTGTGTACTCAGCAGGAGCTCCTCAAGACGGGTGAACTTGGTTTGCTCACATGTAGTCTCTCGGCCCTGTGTGCTGTGGTAGCTGGGTGGGGCACAGTGAGAAGCACCATGGGGCACTTTGTGGATTGGGGGACAGGGAATTTTAAGGAGGGTATCTTGGAATGGGCTTTTACAGGAAGGCGGTGAATGTGTTTGGATAATAGGGAGCCATGCAATGAGCACTTAAATTACATGGGTACAGAGAATTAGTGAGTGAGGTAGCATCTGAGGGTTTCTTTTCTCTTCCTTTCTTTCTCTCTTTCTCTTTTCTTTCTTTCTTTTTTAAGGTTTATTTATTATGTATACAATGGCCCAGGCAGACCAGAAGAGGCCACCAGATGTCATTATAGATGGTTATGAGCTACCAAGTGGGTGTTGGGAATTGAACTCAGAATCACTGGAAGAATAGTCAGTGCCCTTAATGTTTTGAGCCATCTCTCCAGCCCTTTATTTTTTTAATAAATATTTAAATATTTTTTAATAAATATTCTTTTTAATAAATATTTTGTTTATATGAATGCTCTGTCTGCATGTACATCTGAAAGTTGGCAGATGGTTGCAGATGGTTGTGAGCCACCATGTGGTTGCTGGGAATTGAACTCAGGATCTCTGGAAGAACAGCCAGTGCTCTAAACTACTGAGCCATCTCTCCAGCTCCATAGGGTTTCTATTTCTATGATAAAACATAGTGACCAAACGCAACTTGGAAGTGTCTAAGTTTGGGTTACTATTGCTATGGTGAAACACCATGACCAAAAACAAGTTGGGGAAGAAAGATTTTATTTAGCTTCCATTTTCCATTAATGCAGAGTCGATGGAAGAGTGAGCTGGGAGGTGGTGGCACTCATCTTTAATCTCAGCACTTAGGAGGCAGAGGCTGGCCTGGTCTACATAGTGAGTTTCAGGATAGCCTTGTTTGGGCTCAAAAAATAAAAGTAAAAAAGTGAGTGCTGTTTGTTGGCTTGCTCAGCCAGCTTTCTTATAGAACCCTGGATCTAGCCCAGGGATAGCACCATCCACATTTTTCTGAGCTCTCTCCCACCAGTTACTAATTAAGAAAATGCCCTTACAGGCTTGCCTACAGTCCAATCTTAGTTTCTCAATTGAGGCTTTATCTTCTCTGATGACTCTAGCTAATGTCAAGCTGATATAAAACTATCCAGTACAGGAAGAAAAAATTATTTCATTTTTTTGTTTTGTTTTTTTGAGACAGGTTCTGTGTATGTAACCCTGGCTACCCTAGAACTCTGCTATGTAGACCAGTCTGGCTGTGAACTTACAGAGATCCATCTGCCTCTGTATCTTAGAGTTTTATTGGTGTGATGAGACACCGTGGCCACAGCAACTCTTATAAAGGAAAACATTTCATTGGATTGTCTGACATTTCAGAGGTTTAGTCTGTTGTCCTCATGGCAGGAAGCATGGTAACATGTAGACAGACATGATGCTGGAGAAGGAGCTGAGAGTTCTACATCCAGATTGGCAGGAAGACAGAGTGGTACTGGGCCTTGCTTAAGCTTCTAAAACCTCAGAGCCTTCCCCTTCCACCTCAGTGACAGACTTCTTCCAACAAGGCCACATGTTCTACTAGTGCCACTCCCTATGAGCCTTTTGGGGGCCATTTTCTTTCAAACTATCATACTGTCTCCTGAGTGCTAGAATTAAAGGTGCGTTCTACTCTTCACCAGTGGGTATACTTTATCTTATACTTCCACATTACTGTTACATCATTGAAGGAAGTTAGGGCAGGAGCCCAGAGACAGGAACTGGATTAGAGGCCAAGGAAGAACATTGTTTACTGGCTTGGTCATCTTAATTTTTTATACAAGCCAGGACCACCTGCCTAAAGGTGGCGTCACTAACGGTTGAGGCCCTACATCAATTGTTAATAAAATACCTTGCAGGCTTACTATAGGCCATTTGTAACAGAGGCATGTTCTCAGTTAAGGTTTCCCATTTCCAAATATGTCTAGGTTTGTGTCAAGGTGTCAGAAACCAACCAACGTAGATTGGCATGAAACAGCTGTGAACTGTTGATACCAGGGCCTTCTGATCTCAGACTTTCGGAGGATGACCTTATCCTTGTGATCCTCCTCCTCCATCCTCATTTTCAGAAGGCTGGAATTTTAGGTGTGTGCCACCACACCTGATTGCTTCGTTGATTTGTTTTTGGTGCTGGGGATTGAACCCAGGGCTGCTGCATAGTAGGCAGGTGTTCTAAAATTGAGCTCTATCTCCAGTCCAAATTGTGCCAGTTATAAAATGTCGTAGTTAAGTGCCAATCCTGTGCTATAGAGATATTTGTCTTAAAATAGAAGCTCCATGGTAGAGCATTCTCCTGGGAATCCTGAGGCTCTGGTCTTACTCTTCAATCCCCAAGAAAGCAAGGACTCAAAGGGTCCTGTGTCAGTAGGGCCAGGGTCTTTCATAGCTGCCTGTCAGGCTGGACTGGCATAATATCTGCTTACTAAAGCCCTGTCAATATAGGATCTTAAGCCTTTTAACTTTGGTTCTGCAAGATTACTTATGTTATAGTCCTGGAGTGCACATAGCTTCCCTGGCTTATAGACGCTGCTAGTGCACCAGTGTTGTCACATAGGCCCAGCTTGACCTTTGCTGGGTGTCTGATTTCTGTGGCTACTTACATAGAATACGGTGAGGTAGAACTCATTTCCAGACTGAGGCTTAGCAGAACACTACTAGGAAAGTGATTTTGAGTTTGTGAGCAAAGAGGATTTGTGGGTATGGGTCAGGGATGGCTACAGGACACTGATACAGGAAGAGAGTTTCTAGCCAGGTTCCTATAGGAGCAGCAGGTGTAAGGGAGCAGAGCAAGTTGCCCCTGGGTCAGCAGGCCTCTGTCCCTCTGAGATCTTCTATTTCTTCCTCCCCTCTTTTTTTTTTTTTTTTTTTTTTTTTGTGCGTTGGAGGATAGATTTAAAAATTTTGTGTGTATGAGTGGTGTTTGGTCCTGCATTTATATATGGTGAATCCTGTGTGCCTGATGTCCACAGAGGTCAGAAGAATGCATCTGATCCTCTGAACTGGATTTAAGGTGGTTGTGACTCAACATGTGGTTATGTTCTGAAAGAGCAATAAGTGTTCTTGACTGCTGAGCCATCTCTGCAGGGCTGCCCTCCTCACCCTTTATAAAACTATAGTTAGTTTAGAGACAGGGCCTCAGTAGCTCAGGTTCACCTCAAACCCACAGATTGTTGCTAGCCTCTACCTTCTCAGTACTGGGATTGAAAGTGCAGGCCACCATATCCAGCCTTGTTTTTTTTTTTTTTTTTTTGTTTTGTTTTGTTTTTTTAGCTTTATCTATTTATTTATTTAGTATACAATGTTCTGTCAGGCCAGAAGAGGGCACCAGATCTCATTATAGATGGTTGTGAGCCATCATGTGATTGCTGGGAATTGAAGTCAGGACCTCTGAAAGAACAGCCAGTGCTCTTAACCTCTGAGCCATCTCTCCAACAACATTTCTGGTTGTTACCTTCTAGTTCAGAAAAGACTCTTGGCATTCATTTACATCTGTCTTCCTGGGACCCACTGTGGGCCAGCACTCGTCTAGGCTCCCTCAAAGGAAGCTTTTTTAGCCACTTCTATCAAAGAGAGAGCTGTTTGGCACAGGCTTGCATACTCACAGGATATTTGAGCCCCAGTGAGTCTGGAACTGAAGTCTTAATGCCCCTTTGCATCCCCTTCAAAGTTCCCCACCTTGGTGTAGGCTCAGCCTCCATTGAAGCTCTTTCATTTACTCTCCTTGTCTATTGCCTTTTCCTGTGAGTTGTCATTCTACCAGTCCCCTTAACTGTTGGCCCCAGTAGAGAGTCCTGTTAACAGGTTCAGTATGGGTCTGGGTACCATGTGATCTTGCTTATTTGTTTCTCCAAGGTGCTATCTGCAAATTGGCTGCATGGAAAAAGCCAGGTGCTCATGTTGACTCCTTAGCCTATAATGTCTTTTGTTTGTATTTTGAGATTGTTTCTCTGTGTAGCTTTGGCTCTCCTGGGCTTGCTTTGTAGACCAGGCTGGCCTTGAACTCACAGAGATCTGCCTGCCTCTTCCTGCTGAGTGCTGGGATTAAAGGTGTGCACCACTGTGCCTGTAAGTTTGTTTTGTATATTAAAAATAGAGGTAAATGTGGATAGTTGGATTACCTTGCATTAAGGAAGGCACTCAAAGTGGCTGATAATTGAGTGGCTATTGGGATCTGGCATGGAAAGTGACTTCTGGCTCCAATGCTGTAGAGTCCAGGTTGGCCCATCAAATCCACGTTGGCAGAGTCCTTGGAATCCGAGGGCTTCTTACAAGTTTTTTATATGTCTGTGATCTCAGGAAGCCTTAGGAAGCTGAGGCGGGAACAGTTCTTAGTGATCATTTGTAAAATGGACCAGTTGGTAGTACCGTGTGGTAGAGTGCTTATCTAACGTACCAGAACTTGGGTACTATCCTCTAGCATTGTATAAAGCACAGGCATGGTGTCACATGCCTGTAATCCCAGCATTTTGGCAGAGGAAGGAAGGAGGAGTTAAAAGCTATAGCTACAAAGTGAATTCAAAGTCAGCCACAGCTACACAAGATCCTGTCTCAAAAAAATAAAAGGCAAACACTGAAAACAGTAAGTTACTCTAGAGGGCCTAGAGTCTCACCCCAAGGGCACCAGGACTCAGGGAAGTTTGCATAGTGGCCTCAGAGTTTCCTGAGACACAGGTTATAGTGGCCTACGTCTCATTGCTGGGAGTGTCTGCCACTGAGCATCTAGAGTGGCAGTGATCTAGATACCCGAGACTCAGGCTGAGTCAGTGAGCTGGACTGTTCCAGAAAATTGGGTGCCTCTCCTGACTTTGAGCGCTTGCTTTTTGATGGTGAGAGAAGTTTTTTCCTTCCCCCTTACCCCCCCCCCCCCCCCAAATATATTGTCAGGTGTCCACAGGGAAGGTATGTGATGAGCTCTCGGGCAGGATGCCAGAGACACATGCTACTTATTAGAAATCAGTTTCTCTCCTCCTCTAATTTTTAGGTTCATTTTAACCGTGATGGATCGTTGATTGTTTCCAGTAGCTATGATGGCCTCTGGTAAGTGAGAGTCTTCGTGAAGTAAACAAATGCTTATGGCCTTTCGGGCTGTCCTAGCTCTGTGTGCAGCAAAAAGAGGGGACATGTGTATCATCTTCCAGAAGCCTGTGCCCACTGGCTACAGGTTTTTGACAGACCTGAATCATGCAGGGTTGAAAAGCTATGAAAGGAGGTAGTGGAAATGGTGGCTGCCACACAGGGCAGGAGCTGTGAACTCCTTGCATACACATTAGTGTGCCCTTTCAAGATTGTAGAAAGTGAGGAAAGGGCTGAGCCCTTGTGCTAAGTATAGAGGCCCTGTCCACAGATCCCATGTCTGAGCAGGTGAACCACCAGATCCCATTGTGTGGAAGAGAGAAGACAGAGGTGTGGTTTGTGCAGAGCTTCTAGCAGTAGATGGTATTGTAGAACTGACTGCTGGGTCAGAGTTCTGCAGGAGAGTATAGATCTCAAGAGAAAGGCGTGGGAGTAAAGTGCACTCTGAGCTTGGAGACCTTATAACTCAAATTGTGTTGGTGTTCGGTGTTGAGCAGAAATAGAGAGCAAGGTAAGTAATGTGGGTGAGCAAAGCACAGTTGTTGGTGTGTGGCAGGGTCTGAATGCTGTCACCAAAAGCCTTGGCTTGAGGTTAGAAAGACCTTGGATGGTATTAAAAGATACCAAAAATGAAGTGTTTGAGCAAGGCAGTTGAGTGACATCTGTGCAACAAAATCCTAAGAATTGATTTGATGGACAGGACAGGGTAGAGTGACTTAGAGTGAACTAGATGAACTAGATACTTCTGTGCCCCAAGCAGTACTGTGACAAAAAGGCAGATAGTAAAACCTAGATTTAAGAGAAGGTGACTTAAGTTTTACTGTTTGTTGTTTTGTTTTTGTTCTTTTGCTTTTTTCAGTGGCTCTGCAGATGGAACTGAGACTTGCCATTTTGAACAGGCCTGGGCTGGGACTCAGCTAAGCTACTTGGCAACATTGTTTACTGGCCACATAGAGTGTTGAGTGGAACTAAATATTTTCTTTCTGTTTTTGTACAAACTTTGGTAAAAAGACAGTTCTTTCAGAAGAAAGATAAGTCCACTGAAGCTTGTTTCAGTTGTGCCAGACTAATGTGTATGAGCGTGCTGTCACTTACATAGGCAGAACAACCCCAAGAGACAGATTTGAAACTACACATTTGAAACTACAATTTTCCAGAAGTGAGTCCAGAGCATGGGAGGCTGGGGCGATGGTAACAGGAGAGCCTCAGGTTTGTGAGAGTAGGTTGGTTGGAGCCATAGAGGCCAGCACACAGCCTAGTCCTAGGGCTGATGGGGGGTGAAGACCTAAGCCTTGGTTATTGTCTGGCAGGGTGCACCTGACTGCCCAGGTGTTAACAGCATTTGGGGCTGTGGTCATGTAGGTATGCTATAGTACAAAGACATTCTACTGGGTCTCGTGCTTGTCACTAGTGGCCAGAGTAAAAGCCATTATCATCTTGAGACCATTCATCTGTTTGCTACAAAGAATAATACTGGATGGCAGAGATGTTGGAGTGAACTCTGGCGGGGGGACAGAGCCCTGCAAGAGTGTGTTGACCAGTCTGTGGTGCTAGACTTGACATAGAGCTTGGAATAATGTACAGACTTGGCTTTTGGGGCTGGAGAGATGGCTTAGTGGCTAAGAGCACTGCCTGCTTTTCCAAAGGACAGGATTCAATTCCCAGCACCCACACGGCAGCTCACAACTCTCCATAACTCCAGTTCCTAGGGGATCTGACGACTGCCCTCACACATACATGTACAAGCAAGCAGAACACCTGTGTACTGAAAATAAAAAATAATTAAAAAAAAAAGTTAGAAGTTTACTGAAGAAGCTGGCAAGAAGGAGCTTGGGAAGTTAAAAAATGGTGGAGCACTCTCTGATGCCAGCACACTGGAGGCAGAAGCAGGCACAGTTCAGTATTTGAAGCCAGCCATGGGCTGTGTGGTGAGACCCTGTCAGAGAGAGAGACAGAAAAAGTGATGGCATGGAAAGAAATAGGAAACAGTTATATGAGTTGTGTTTGCTAAGGTAGAGCTAAAACATGACTTTAGTTATGAGCAGGATCAGCAGTAAGGGGTGGGTGCCCTGAGTTCAGAGAGGACTGGAACTCGAGCAGTATACTGTACTTGACCCTGCTTTTCCTAAGTGTATCCTGGAGATGTGTGCTGGAGGTGGGCTACTCTCAAGAGATCCAGGGAAGCGGTTAATGGTCTGAGAAAACTCTTGAGGTCTTGAGATCTTAAACTTAATCAGTCAGTTCTTTTTGTTGTTGGTTTTTGTTTGTTTGTTTGATTTTTCGACATAGGGCTTCTCTCTGTAGTCCTGGCTGTCCTGGACTCCCTTTGTAGACCAGGCTGACCCCCAACTCAGAGATGTACCTGCCTTTATCTCCTTTATCTGCTTGTAGTCTCCAGTCAGTCAATTAATTAATTAGAGAATCTTATTTTGTAACCTTGGGATTGAAATGCAGGCACTCGTACATAGAAACAAAATTTAAAACACAGAAACTAGAAAGTCAACAATGTGGTCCTCTTTTCTTGTTACTGTGGTTCTTGCCGTCCTCACTTGTCACTTGGGAAGTGTAGGTAAGCATAAATACTTGCCAGTTGTCCCTCAGCCAATGGGATAGATCAGTGAAGACCAACGTGGAACTACTGAGTCCCTGCACTGTTGCCTCTTTGGAACCTCAGGATCTGCTGGCCGACATGTGGGATTATGCATTTGCCCCAGTTTAAGGTTTATCTGGAGTTAACCAGATAGATAATGGGGGAGAGACCACTGTGGGGATATTCAGGAGAGGGATTAGCGACTGGAATGGGGAGGAGCCATGGAGGATGAGACTGCCTAAGCACACACCCTTGGAGTTCAGAATAATGGAGTCAAGACAGCAGTCACTGTTCCAGAGCCTGTGTTCCAGAAGCACTTGGATTTCATTTGAACCTCAGGGTGTTTTGATATTGTACAAAAGTGAATTTAAAAAAGGCCAGCAAGGAGTGCATGCCTTTGAGCCTTTAATCCAAGCACTGGGCAGACAGAAAAGGTAGATCTTTGTGAGTTCAAGGCCAGCCAGAGCTATATAGTGAAACTGCCCCCCCCCCCAAAAAAAAAAAGTACACACACAGGATTTCTGTTACAGTAGTTTATGCCTTTCATCTAGACACTTAAGCTGAGGCATGAGGATCAGAAATAAACTAGAGCCTGCATAGAAGTATCGGTGGGCATGTGCCAAGAGGACTGAGCAGAGATAAAGAAGGGACTGTTGCTTCTGGATCAGACCAGCTAGTTTCCAAGAGTGGAAACTCTGGGGAAGGAGGAGAGGCTGATTACCTCATCTTGAGGAATGATGTGGAGCCTGGCCTGGGGAAGGTTTCAGATGCAGTGGCATCATGGAAGGTCAGCTTGGGAAGCAGCAGAGCAGAGAGCCAGTGGTCTGCTTTTGAGAGTCTGCTGAGGAAGCATGTGGCTTGTCAGCAAAAGTCATAGAACTTTGTAGGTGGAACCATGTCAAAGCCTGGCATGTCCTCTTGGGGATGGTGTCCTCTGGTACAGGCTTCATTTGGTAATAACTTTGGCCTCCTGTGGGACACACTGACATTGGTGTAGACGGTAGGAATCTTGTTTTTGTTTTGTTTTGAGACAGGGTTTCTTTGTATAACAGAGCCCTCGCTGTCCTGAAACTCACCTTGTAGACTAGGCTGGCCTCATGCCTGCAGAGATATGCCTGCTTCTACCTCCTGAATGCCGGGATTAAAGACATGGCCACCGCCGCTTAGTTTTTCGTTGTTGTTTTTGTTTTTTCTATTTTAAGGCAAGATTTCTCTGTGTAGCCTGGCTATTTGGAACGCTCTGTAGACCAGGCTGGCCTTGAATTCAGAGATTCATCTGCTTCTGCCTTCTGAGTCCTGGGATTAAAGGTGTGCCACTACTATCCAGCTTTTTTTTTTTTTTTTTTTTTTTTTTTGAGACAGGTTTTCTCTGTGTAATCATAGGTGGAGGACAGATATCCTTCACGTCCTCAGGTGAAGTCCACCATGCATAGTTCTCACTAGAGTCAGGGAGTAATTGTTAAAGCTGTGGGTGAAGTGCTCTCCCAGAGCTCAGTGGGATTGGTTACAGTGCTCTCACCAGCAATCAGCTTTCTCACATACTGTGTTCTTACTTGACAGCCGCATCTGGGACACTGCCTCTGGCCAGTGTCTGAAGACGCTCATCGGTGAGTGCTCTGTCTGGTGGAGGGTTGTGGAGGTGGGTGGAGGAAGGTAGGGGCAGGCTTGCCCAGGCCTGCCATGTCCTGGTGGTCCTTGCAGAGTATCTGTTTTCAAAAAGTCATCTTTTCCTTCTGTCCTGGGCCTCCTTGGTCTGGAGGATTTATGGTGTGTCCACCTCTACTCTCCTTCCTGATACTAAAGCCGCCATGGTCCTTGGCAGGCTTTACATTGTTGAATCATATCCTTCTTAGCTCTTGGGGTCCTTGCATTCTCCGCCTGTGCTCATCAGCCTTAGCCTGCCACTGGCCCCTTCTTCCTTGGAATTGGGGGTATGTGTTCACTACTGGGGTGTACTGCAAGGTGGGCAGGGTGTTGGAACAGGTGGGTGGGATGTTGGGAGGGTGTTACTTGTCCAGGCTGGAGTTCAGAACTTTAGGTGAGCAATGGAAAGGATTGGCAAACCCTGCTTCTTTATCAGTCTTGCTGGGTAGAGAGTCTGTTGTGGGTAGAGAGTCTGTTGTGGTAAGTTGCTACTGTCTTAGGCTGTTAGGGAAACTAGTATAGCCATTCTAGCCTGCTAGGTTGCTAGGATAGAATACCTGAATTGGCAGGGAAGACAGGAGCTCATTCTCTATTGGAGTTTAGGTGGCTAGGCAACACAGCTTCTAATATCACTCTGACCTGCACATGCCACGTATACCCTTGTGTTTCTCTGTGCCCAACTTCTAATGACAAACTTACATGCAACCCTCCTCCCCCTCATCAACCATCACCTGTGTGATGGCCTCTCCAAAACAGCCACTTGCTGTTGTTTTGGGTGGGCTTCGTAAGTTTAGGGACACAGGTACTCTGGGATAATGGCTTTTAAGCTTTTCTTGCTGTATGGGGTCACGCTTGGGGCTTAACGATTTCTCACAGCCTATATCCACAAGCATGTATACTCACATGCACATATGAGAGCCCCTCCCACCAGATGTCAAATAGTAATGTCCTGTACTTACCACCACTACCTACCAGGGACCTCTCTGGTGCTAAGTCATGCAGCAGCTATTGTAACACATACCTAGGACTTGTGTTGTCAACACTCGTAAACATGGGCAGTTGTGTCATCCTCAGTTTACAGGGCAGTATCTTAGCTACAGAAGTCAGCTAGCTGGAAAGCTGCGTAGCAAGTCCAGTCATCCCTCAGTATCTGGGAGAGGGTTCTAAGACCTTCCATTGATTCCCAAAGTCCTTAGATGCTCAGGTCCCTTATTTGAGATGGTACAGCCTTTTCATGTGACTTGTGCACATCCTACTGTGGTTTAAATCTTGAGATGGTTTAAAACATTGGGTGTACAGGTGTAACAGAGACCAGGAGCCCTGTTACTTACTGCGTTGTTAAACTGCTGTGCAATAGGTGGGTACATATCTAGTTCAGATGCAGCCATCATAGACAACTTAAAGAGGTTGCCACTGGGTAGGGAACTGCTAGTGTTACCATACTTGCTTAAGCTCAGTAATTGTCCTAGGAAACAGTAAAATTCTTTTGTTTGTTTTTGCTTTTTTGTTTTTGTTTTTCGAGACAAGATTTCTCTGTGTAGCCCTGGCTGTCTTGGAACTCACTCTGTAGACTTGGCTGGTCTCGAACTCAAGACGTGCTACCACTGCCTGGGTAGAAAAGTAAAATTGTTTCTTTGGTTTTGTTGTGTTCCTGCTTCCCCACCTCCTCCTCCCTCCACACATACAGGCTCTCACTGTGTAGCCCTGGCTGGCCTGGAGCTTGCTTTGTAGACCAGGGTTGTCTTGGACTCATAGAGATCCACCTGCTTCTGGAGTGGTGGGATTAAAGGTTGTAGCACCATGCCCAGCTTCTGTGTTTTTTTTTTTTTTTTAAATGGGGTATTGGGTGGGGCCACATGTGTGCCTACACCCATAAGCATGTACACTCACACGCATGTGTGAGAGCCCTCCCACCAGTATATATGTGTGTGTCTTGGCGTACACGTGGAGGTCAGAGGATGGCTTTCAAGGATTTGAAGCCTGTACATGCTTTGTTATATATCCATTGTTGGCTAAACTCTGGTCTGCGATTGGCAACCATGTGCAGGGCCGGCCAGGATTTAAATTTGGTCAGGCAGTGGGAGATAAGCCCTAGACTGGGGTAGGTAGGTCTATCTTTCTCATATATTTTCAAGTTTAGAAATTAATGTGTTCTTTTGTGGGGTATTGACAGTCCCTGGCTGTCCTGGAACTCACTCTGTAGACCAGGCTGGCCTCAAACTCAGAGATCTGCCTTTCTCTGCCTTCTGAGTGCTGGGTGGAATTAAAGGTGTATGGTGCCACCATCACCTGATGAGATTAAGATTCTTATTTGGGTGTAGGTCAGTAATGTTTCTCCAGGGATTTGTTTCAGCGCTGGCCTGGGTAAGGCATACAAGTACTGCCTTGTGTCTGCTGAATTAAAGGTCTTATGTGGCCTAGTTGGCCTCACTTTCTTGTATCCCCGTTTCAGTGTATGTGACCAGTCCCAGGGAATGGAGCTCCCTGCGAACCCCCAGTGGTAATGCATGTGTCAGGCTATACTAGCCTTTATATGCACACCTTAGGGCCTGGTAGGATTCCTTGGCTGGCCAGGCAGTCCCACCCCAAGACATACCCAGGCGAGGGGCAGACCCCTGAAAGCCCACTGTAAAGGAGGATATGACATCAATATGCCCTGGAAAGCAGTTTTTATGTGGGCAATTTCTAGGAAGCCTGGCTTCTCAGCAGTGCAACACCCCATCTCTCACCCCCCTTGCCAAATGATGAGGCTAAAGTCAGCAGCCTGGCCTTCAGGAGGCAGAGGCATGGCCATCATGAAAGGAGAGCTTGCTTGACTACAGAATGGGAAGGTGTTTATAAGGCTACCCTAGGCCAGGCAGCTTTCTCCAGGGGCCTCAGGTGTTCATCTCTGCTGGAGAGCTTTGGGCCTCCTTTCACATGTGGTGGAGGCCAATATTGGCTGGGCACTGGTGTGAATACTTAAGAACATCAATGACCAAGGAAGGTGAGAGGAGATGGGATGCCAGGCTCTTTGGGAGCCTCAAGGGTAATGGTGGTAGTATAGGTGGCAGGGGCCTCACATAGATATCTTGGCATGGGTGACTGGGAGCTGTCCTGCCTCTCCACTTTGCCAAGGATCAGCTTGTCTCTGTTCTGTGTAGATGATGACAATCCTCCAGTGTCCTTTGTGAAGTTTTCTCCAAATGGCAAATACATCCTGGCTGCAACTTTGGACAAGTAAGTGCTTTGGTTCCCTGAGGAGTGAGCACGAGGCTTTCACTGGTGGGGTTTCCTCTCCTGTTGTATTGTGTTGTTTCTTCTCCCAATAGCCCAGTTGAGGTGACTTGTGCATTAGAGCTCTGCCCTGGGTTGTGAGCTGAGGGGCTGGAGAAAGGACTCCTGCTAGTTCTAGTATGAGAAGACCTAGTATTTGAGGCTCAGGCTATTCTTGCAAGGCAGGCCAAAGATTTCCTACACAGGGGTGAGGTATAGCATGTGGCCTCTGAAGGTCTTTCTGAGCTTCTGAGCTCCTTTTTGCTTGCAGTACAGGGCTGGAGCTCATGAACTCACACATGCTAGGCTGGCTTACCTCCAGTTCCCAGTCTGAGCACCTTGCTGACCCACTCCTAGGTGCTCATTTAATGTGGCACACTGTACAAGGTCTTCAAGGATCCATGCTGGTCGCCCCTCTTGAGAGCTGCCTGATGGTCATTATTTTATTCTGGTTAGGCTTCCGCATCTTGCCGTGGTTGGCATGAGTCTGTCCCTAGGATGAGCAAAAGATACTTCTTGTGATGTCTGTCCTGGGTGTTTCTGGACCCAACATTTTTCCACATTCTGCCTGTGACTAACCCCTGGTTTTGGGAAAATAGTCAGCGGGCTCCTTTTTTTTTTTTTTTTTTTTTTTTTTTTAGTTTTTTGAGATAGGGTTTCTCTGTGTAGCCTTGGCTGTCTTAGACTGATTCTGTAGACCATGCTGGCCTCAGACTCGGGGATCTGCCTGCCTCTGCCTTCTGGGTGCTGGAATTACTGGTGTGTTCTACCGGGCCTGGCTAGCAACCTCTTTTCTTCAGTGTGTCTCTGAATTACAAGTACTAGTACAAGTACTAGAGTCTTTATATTTACTCTTGTATGTCATGGAGTGGCTGAACCTTGATGAACTGAATGATCCTCTATTTCGGTACTCATGGTTGTTGGTAGATGGTGGCATCCGAGGTGGGGTATGCCAAAGATGGGCTGACCCTCATCCCTGCTCTCTGTCTTTCAGCACGCTGAAGCTCTGGGACTACAGCAAGGGGAAGGTGAGATTCTGGCATGTGGCTGGCCTGGCCTTCTTCGTGCCAGCCCCAGGTAACAAGTTGAGGGTGGTGTAGCAGACCCAGGAGTTGAAGCAGGAGGGACTCAGAGCTGTCTTCTTTTAATGAGCAAGTTTGGTACAATTCCTTTAAAGACTGACTGCTGGGTTGTTTTTTGAGACATGTTTCTCTGTGAATCCTTGGCTGTTCTAGATTCGCTTTTGTAGACCAGGCTGGCTTCAAACTCACAGAGTTCTGCCTGCCTCTGCCTCCCTGAGTGCTGGGATTACAGGTGTACACCACCACCCCTGGCTTGATGTAGTGTTTTATGAATGATTAGTCTGCAGGTCAAAGTTTGGACATACAAAGTATGTAGCTAGAATATTTTCAGAATATGTTGAGGTGGTGGTTAGATGTGTATACCCAGAACTGAGTCCTCTGGCCTGAGAGCCATAGGTGCTAACTGCACACCTACCTTTTCAGTGCCTGAAAACATACACTGGCCACAAGAATGAGAAGTACTGCATATTTGCCAACTTTTCAGTGACAGGCGGGAAGGTGAGTCTCCCACTGAGCTGCTGTCACCCTGCCAGCCCTCTGCTGAGAGGCCACCCATCACAGGTGGCTTCATGTCTTTATGAAGCTTCCCTGAGTCCATGGAACAAACCCATACATGCCTTGTTGGCTGGAACTGTTATTTCTTGCACTTGGATCCTAAGAGCAGGTGGTGACTGTATAGAAACTCAGACCCACTGAGGGGTGGCATGGGAGGCGTATGGCATGTCACCAAGTTGGGGGAACGAGGGGCCAGAGTGGTGCTAGGCAGCTTGCCTGTACTACCTACTCAGCATATAACCTCCTGCTGTCTTGCCTGTCCTTGCTGGCTGCCTGCTGCACTGCTGCAGTGGATCGTGTCTGGTTCTGAGGATAACCTGGTGTATATCTGGAATCTGCAGACCAAGGAGATTGTGCAGAAGTTGCAGGGCCACACAGGTGGGCAGTCATTTGGAGATGGGCCACGCGGATGGGTGGAGCCAACCAGGGGAGCCCCCTCAGTTCACCAAGGTGCTTGGTTGTTTCTGGGATTTACGACACACTGGCAGGTGTTGCTGCTCTGTTCTGCCTACCATTCTAGCTCTGTAGGCCTGTGAGGTCATGTGACCAGCCTTGGAAGCAGCATCAAGAGCTCTTATCTAGGGTTCTGGACCTGGTTGGTTGTGGATGTTAACTAAGACCCAGGTCTCCTGGGAGGAGTGTAGCTTGTTTTCTTCATTGGAGACTAAACATCTGGGGCCTGACAGCTGCTGGCACTGGGACTCAGCGAATATGGAGAGTGTCTAACCTACATGCTGAGCTGTAGCATTTCCTGGAGGCTCCAGCCCTTTTCAGGGATGTTGGTTTTCCATTTCCCGGGTCAGGGTTCAGCTTTGAGTGAGTCCAGCACCTGATTCTGTGGTGCAGCGTGGAATAACTTTGTTGTAGTTGTTCCTTCCTGTCTACCTTCTGAGTGGGGCCAGGAGTATCAGGCGCCTTTGTAGCCCTGAGGAGCAGGGTTCTTTTTTTCTGACCGAGCAGTAATCTCACATGTGGGGCAGCTGGGAATGGCTTGGTCACACTTGATGTGGTTCCTGAGCACCCAGGAACAGGCAGAATTAGTGGACCTCACATGCCATCTCATTAATGCCAGTATCTCTGCCCAGGGGTATGGTTACTTCTTACTCAGCATTCTGAAGGTTGTGCTGGGTGGTAGGGGGCAGTGGGAGTAGTGAGCTCTGGGACCAGTGAGGAAAGCATGTAGACAGGAATGAGGACCCTGTGCCCAGCAGAGCAAGACTATGGTCTTTCTGAGCACTGCCCCAAATCCTGTGATGCTCCCTGTGTTCCTAAGCCAGCCAGGTGTGTGCTGCCACTGTTTATCCTGGAGGAGTCTCTGACCGACTCTCTGCTTTCAGATGTTGTGATTTCCACGGCTTGTCACCCGACAGAGAACATCATTGCCTCAGCAGCGTTAGAGAACGACAAAACAATCAAACTGTGGAAGAGTGACTGCTAAGTCCTGGCTCCATGAGAGACTTCAGGAAGCCACCCAGATTGGCAAGAAACACATGTGGGGCAGAGGTGTGGGGCCAGACTGGAGCGACAGGCCTGGTGCACCTCCTCTCTGAAGATGTCGGGTCAGGGGAGTGCACACTACCGAGTCTTGATAGCCACTGTGATATTTCTTGCCAATTCTGTTCTGCCTGGGGGAGTTTCTGGTCTGTTCTGTGCTCAGAGGCAACAAATTTTTAATTTTTTATTACAAGAGTGAGTTCAACTCATCCTGGGTTGTTTTTCCCTGTAATTGTCTGTATCTTTTTGGTATTGTATTGCCCACTGCACACACTGGAACAGGACCTGCAGCCCTACTCCCATTCCCTGCCTCCAGCCCTGGCCTGCTTGTTCAAGTTTCCTGCCTGTAATAGTACCCAGTATGTTTCCAGGACTTTCTGGATACACAGAAAGGTTGTAAGTTGTTTCCGTGTCAAGTCCCTTTGTATTTTTGGAGTTCATAGGTCAACACTGACCTCTCAGTGGTTGCAGTGTCCACATGTCTGGCTGGTATCACTCAGTAAGCTGCACATACTGTAATAAAAGGTAGGTTTGGACCAGCTTGGCCTTGAATTCTGACTGGAGCTCATCTGTACCTGAGTTTTAGAAAGTGCCCCTCAGGGTAGGGTTTGGAAAGGTCTGTGGGAAGATGGATCCTTGTTGTACCTCTTTTTCCCAATGGCTGCTGTGGGCACTGAGTATTTTGAGAGGAAGAAACTCAGTTTTTCCAACTGAGTGAAAGTGAAAGTCTTGGATAGGTACAGTGTAGGGCCGTTCTGGTCCTCTCCATTCTGGGTGAGGCTCAGGGACCTGTGCAGGAGGGAGTATTTCAATTTGGTGCTTGCCCCAAACAGGTACAGCCTTCGGCCTTAGCCTCTGAACCCACCAGCCTCTCTTAGCCCCTGCCCCAAATGGATCCTCTGGTGTCCTGTCTTCTGGGTAACCAGGACTGGAAAGAGGTGATGGCCGAGCTCGGAGCTGCACAGCATTTTCACAACTGCTGCTGCCTGAACCCAGGGTGACCTAACATGGAGCAGAGTGCAGAGGTTCTGGGTGTTTCCAGTCCAGTTGGGTGGGTGAGGCTTCTGGGCACAGGCATGGGCTGCGGGGAGGCCCTGGGTTTGCTCTGTTGCAGCAACCTGTAGAGCCAACACTGATACATAAGCAAGGTCACCCCAGTCTGTAGCTCCTCTACGATGCCTTGCAGCCCTTTTTTGGCCACCCCATCATGGCAAGATGAGCATCTGTAGGTGTTGGAAAAGAAGCCTGCACACTCCTGGCCCCTCCTTTGGGCAGATAATGTGCATATGGGCTGTCTGGTTGAAGAAACCATTGTTGCAGAAAGAGCGTGATTGTCACTGACGTGTGGGTCCTGGGCCCCTGGTATCTGTTGGGTAGATGTGCCTGGGTTCTGGTCAGTGTTGTGGATATATTGCTGGGGTTTCTGGAGGGGTGTTAAGGTCCGTCCAGCTGTGGCCTGGTGTGCAGCCCCCTCCTGAGGGAGGGAGCTTGCTTGCCATGTTGAGCGCAGTATCCCCAAGTATAGTTTATTTTTTCTACAGTTGAACTCTGTTGTAGATTTATGTAAAAATACATTCTCTTTTTGAAAATAAAGATTTTCATGTCTTGTAAATATGTTCCATGTAAGTTCTTTTAAAGGAATTCATTTTGTGTGCATATATAAGTTGTGTGTGTGGAGGTCAGAGGACAGCCTGTCTTTCCCTTTTACCATGTGGGCCTTGGGATAGGACTCAGGTCCCCAGATTTGGTGTCAAATCCTGTTAATCCTTTCAGCCCCTTTCCTGACACTTCTGTAAGGATTTCTATAGCACTTCTGGCAGTGGAGGTGCACATCTTTAGTCCCAGCTCTCAGGAGGCAGAGGCAGGCAGGACCACACAAAGAAACTCTCTCAAATTAACCCCTCCCCCAATATTTTAAGCCACGCAAGGTGATGCATGCCTATGGTCCCAACACTAGATAGTGCGAGTTCAAGACCAGCCTGTAAAACAGCATTTTTATTTTTTAAAACAATGTGCTTTGGTGATGTGCATATGTGTGGGGTTCATGAGTGTGTGGAGGCCAGAGATTGATGCCAAGTATCTTTCTTGATATTCAGTAGCTCTCTCACTTGAACCCAGAGCTTCCCAGTTTGGCTAGTCTAGCCAGACATTGTCCTCTGGGAGCCCAGCCAGTCTTTGGGCGGGGAGGGCATGCTGTGGGTTCCCTGCATTCACACTAGTGCTAGGAATCCACACTGATTATCATGTTTATGTGGTGAGTGCATTATCCACTCAGCTGTCTTCCCAGTCCTGAATCTGCTTTATACTTTTGATAAAGGATGTAGTGTAAACCTCTAAAGTGCACTGCCATAGATCCTGTGTCAGTGGTCTTGGAGTAAGTGGCTTTGAAACTGGGCACAAGTAGCCGTTATATGGGTTCATGCTGCCTTGCCTTAATTGAATGGCTTTGTATGGATTTCTGCTGGGTGTCTTGGGGTATACCCGCTCTGACCTTTTCTGGGCAGACATGAACCAGAACCAAATTCTACCAAGACTAGAGAACTAGGGATGGACCAAAGTAATTTGCTCAAGTCCAACTTGATCAGCCCGCCCAGCCTGGGTGACAGCTCTGCAGAGTGACAGCCCTGGAGCTCCCCATGCTGCAGGCAGTGCCACAGGTGGGAGTCTGCTCCTTAGCATTTTAAAAACATGCTGAGTGGTGGTGGTGGCACACACTTTTAATCCCAGCACTTAAGCATGGAACAGGTGGATCTCTGAGTTTGAGGCCAGCCTGGTCTACAGAGCTAGTTCCAGGACAGCCAGGGGAAACAAAACAAAACCCATACAAACCAAAACCCCACAAAACCCAATCTCAAAAAATAGACCCAAAATATTTATTTGCTTTATGTGAATGTGTGCTTTGTGTGTGCCTGTGTACCATGTGTGTGTCTGGCTGTGGAGACCAGAAGAAGTTGATCCTCTGGGACAGGAGTTATAGATGGCTGTGAGTGGCCTTGTGGGTGAGCCATCTCTCCCAGCCTCTCCTAGAAATTGTTCACTGCTTCTGCAATTTTGGGGAGGAACCTTATGAAATGAGCCTCCCTTCTCCCACCATGTTGCTCCATGGCCCAGTGCCTTAAAAATTTTCCACCTTCCATTTGGGGAAGAGCCATGTTCTTCCCTTAGTTCCAGCCATGCTCCTTAGAGCAAATGTAGGCCTGAGTGTGACTTTCACTGCCTGTCAATTTTCCCACAGCAGGTGTCATTGGCCCTTTTAGGAGGAGGGCTGCTTCCCTGACCCCTTGTGGTGTATCATCCCCAGGGTTTAAAATAACATCAAAAGTTTGCATATTTATGTTAATTTCAAAGTAAAGCATGCAAAGATGACATTTACAGCTAACATCTGTTATAAACAAGGGACAGGTGTGCAGGACTGTAATTTCAGCTGCTCCAGTCACTGAGGCAGGAGGGCATGGAAAGTACGAGGCCTGGATTGCAGAGCCAGAGTCTCTTAGTGAGATTGTCTTTTAAGAGACAGGACTGCAGGTAGTTCAGTGATAATGGTTTATCTTTATAAAAACTGGTTTTCACTCCCTGGTGACTAATCCAAAAATATAACCGTTGGGTGTAGTGGTATTAAACCTGTAACCCCAGCACTTGGGAGTTGGAGGCAGGAGGATGAGGAGTTCAAGACCACCCTCAGCACCATAGTTCAAGCTTAGTCTGGGCTACGGTGACCCTGCCTAGCAGTAACAAGACAGGACTGCTCTAGAAGCTTCCAGCTGTGTAGACTGGAGACCAGTGTGTTGTACCCTGCCCCGTCCCTGTTTCCTGTTTCAAATACGTCACAGGTCTTTCCCAAATTTGTTTATGAGATTAAAGCAAGTATATGATTTTAATTTTTCAGTGCCACAGCAGGGAACCGGGGCTCCCACACCTGGCACAGCCTGCCGTAGGAGCCCACGGGCGCCCCCACGCGCAGCCACCTGCGCGTCGAGTACTATCATTAAGTGCCTGAATTCTCTCGCGAAAGCCCCGGTTTCTAAGGGGGAGGAGCAAATATATTGCTCTTAGCACATGGGAGTTGAGCTACCAGACCTGGCAACCCTCCAGGCTTCAGACTGAAACTGCCTATTTAAAGTCATCTACAGCTGTCCAGATACACGGTTAAGAGAGCCAAGGGTGGCGACGACAATAGACATTTTGAGCAAGACCGCGCCTTCTGTATGAGCCTCTAAATTCGGGCAAAAAAAAAAAACAAAAAAAAAAAACAGTGGTTAGATGCCACGAAGTAGGTGGCAATGCCTTAACCGTATGTGTGTTGTTAGGCCCAAGGGCCTCTTCCATCCTTGTCAAGGGGAGTGCTAACCTTCTCTCCTTTCATACAACACAACGTGGTCGGTGTGCGCTGCGACTATTTATAGGCCCCAAACTAACACTCTTTTACATAATGGTGAATTTCGCTTACGTCCATACAAACGTTACTAGACAGTAATTATAATGTTTACTAGGTTGCTTGATAAATTAAGCGCTTATCCAACTGTAGAAAAAATTATTTCATCTTACCCCGATCATGCTTTAATTAATTCATAAAACTAGCCAATCAAAGGCCGAAGGGAACACCGGAAGTTGTGACATACGTCAAAACAAACCAAAAAAAAAAAAAAAACGTTCCCCGGAAACAAAACAGGGCGGGCGCACGTCCAACGGGGACAGGCTTGCTGTCGGCGGGAAGTGGAAGTGGTCAGGGACGAATCAGAGGGCGAGCGTCCGACGCTCCTCCACGGATTTCCGGACGCCCGGTTGTCGGCGCTCAGGCAGGGGCAGGAAAGCTGCGAACGGAGTCTGCGCATGCTCCGCTCTCCGCCGCCAGCACCGCGCAGGCCCAGCTGCGGCTGCATCTAGTCGGCCGGCGCTGTTTTCAGCGTGGGGATGGGTGCCCTACGTCGTGGTGGCGTTCCTTGCTTTTGTACCCACTCCCGGTGTGGTAGGTCCACTCTATAGAAGAAGTCATCGCGCCAAAACAACTGGTGGTCCTAGCTCCCTTCGTACAAACACGGAGGTACGAGCGCACACTTGTCTATACAGGGACAGGCATACCCACACGTGCACAAGTGATGCACATTTTTACAAATGCATGGCCGGTGCACACGTGTGCACTTATGTATACAAACACTGAAGGGCCCTGCTGTGTGTATCTGTTGTGTTTGTGATTTTCTGCCTGTTTGTGTGCCCAGGTATGCTTGTGTGTTACAGTGGTTAGCTGGGCATGTGGTGCATTCCTGTACTCACTCTACCTGGGACGTACAGGCAGGAGGATTGAGTTCTAGACCAGCCTAGACGAAGGAGATGTGTCTCAGAAACAAACAGGAGTTAATTTTTTAAGGCAGGTTCATGGCCAGCCACTGAAGGAATAGAAGTGGTGCCAGGGTTTTTCAGCTAGGAATTATGGATGGGCTGGTTGTGCATATCACATCTGGAAAACTAGCCTTATTTTTTTAGAGAAGTTCTGTAGGTCTGTACATAGCCCTGGCTGTTCTGGAAGTTCCGTGTAGACCAGGCTGGCCTCGAACTCAGATCTGCCTGCTTCTGCCTCAGTGCTGGGATTAAAAGGCCTGCAGCACCATGTCCCACGAGCTAGTGTTATTGAGTCAGGTTTTTCTAATAGAAGTTTCAGGATTTCTCCGATGGAAAGAAAGAGCAGGTTACTCTGCAGATTGTATGAGAGAGCATGGGCTGGAGTCTGGGAGACAGCTGGGTCCGCTTCCTGGAGGTGGAAGCTGGACCTAAGGCATTTGGAACCTGAGGCAGAGAGTGGCATTTTGGGTGATCTTGGTTAAGTTTTCAGGGCATCGGGAGGGAGGCCTAGGTGTTGCTTGGAGCTAGTAGAATGAATTGGCAGCTTTGGTTTGGCACCTGCACGGCTCTTGTCTACCTTGTGGGTTTGTAAGTTTATTGCGAATGGTGGAAGGGCCAGCTGGCTCTACATGAAACCGAGGCCAGCCTCTTAAGCTTTAAAAACAGAGCAAAGCGAAGGCATGCTGTCCCTGACAACTTTTCAGAGTCAGTTTTTATGTGAGTTCCTGGGATCAAACTCAGGCCATCAGGTTAGTCACCACTGAATCCTTTAGCCACTGAATCCTCTCGCCAGCCCTCTGTGGTCCCTTTCATCATAGCCTGCCTCTGCACATGTTGCAGGTGGAGGTCATTGCCTCATTTGGAGACAAAGCTGTAGTGACTCAGGGTAAGGAAAGCCAGCTAGAGGGGCTTTACAGAGTCGGGACCAAGCTGGGAGGGCCCACTAGGCCACAGTTCTTTCTTAGACAACCTGCAGAACCTGTGAGAAACAGGGAGGCTCTCTGTTGCCTTTGTTAACAGAGGATGCTCTCTGGCATCTCTGGGCCTTGAGTTGTGAAAAACACTTTCTGTTTCCTGTCTACCACACCAGCTCACAGGAAGCCCCAAGGTGATCATGTTCAATATATGTCTAGTCAGCACAGGCCTTTCTTCACATGAGCCTTGCCATGAACCACAGCATGACAAATCTTCACCCATATCCCAGGGCTTAAGAAATGGTGAGAACGTGCTGAGGCAGCAGGCTGGGCTGGGACACAGGTAGAGCAGCTTTTCCCT